ACTGCGTGTGTGTATTTGTATGTGCACGCGCATCTCCAACTTGTCAGAGAAAAGGGTGTTTCACTGAGTGGGAATGCCTGGTAGGATGTGTAGGCCCAGGTTGCTATGGCAACCATCTGCTGCTACGCTCACAAGCGTTCGCCAGCAGCCCACACAGTGTGACATCCAGCAGCAAGCCAATCTGAGAGAGGGAGAGAGAGGGAGAAAGTAAATCTGCGATTGAACGTTAACACTAAAGGAATAAGGAAAACACAGAGTTCAACTGAATGATTGTTGTTTTTAAGGACATTTGTTTACCATTAAGTTGTAAGTTCAGTTGCTGGGAGCCTTTGTTGCATCTCTTTCCCTCTCCCTCATTACCTGTCATCTCTCCATTATAGGTATTTAATGAAAGCATAAAACAAATGAACAGAAAAGGATGATAATTAAAAAGCTGCCTAAAATCAGCATTTGTCTGCGATAAGAAACGCAATGTTATTTTGAACTGAAAAAAACCCACATTACATACATTAAATCTCACATTTTTAATTGTTACTTTTTTACTTGGCAACACAAATCCGACGCAAATCTGATTTGCGGTAATGCCGTCACAGTCTGATTGGATTTCATTATCGTTTATGTTTCTACAGCATTAAACTCGGTGGGATGTCAAGCTGCTGGCCCATGTAAATGAAATTGCTGCAGATAATAAGACTGAGGAAAGCTGAGATGAACAGTAGATATACAGTAAGATGAAAGACTTATTATTATTATTATTACCTTTATTTGACAGTATGTGTAGATAAAGACAAGAAACATGGGAAGAGAGGGGTAACATGCAACAAAGGTCCCCCAGCTGGGAATCACCTTCTACTCATTAGGCTACCGGGGCAGCCCCTTTGCACCCTCTTATTGCTATATATTTTTTAATATACAGTGTGTATTTCTTTAATTCTTTGTGAATTTGCTTGTTATATCATATAACAAAGTAGCACCCAACTTCTTAGCAATAAATCTGAACTGATCTTCACAAGAAAAGCTTGTACTGTGACTGTCTGTATAAGCAGTGTGTATGTTCACCTTTATGCACACTACAATCTATAAGTACACTTGTGGAGTGTGTAGGTTTCACTTCAACTGCAGGGGTCATGGTCTGGGCACAACTCGAAAGGAAAATCTCAAAACTCATGTATATTTTGCAGCCAATTCTTGCACGTATAACAAAAGACCTTGTGGACAACTATTTTAGTCAGTGTGGACAATCCAAAGCTAATCTTCTGAATAAGAATACGGACATTAAGAAACTAAACCTTGCATTAAAAGATAAAAAGTCAGACTATAAACTTTATTTAACTCATTTTGTGGTTGTTTTTTTTGTGATAATCTTGTACATGTGTTTCAGATGCAGGAGGTGGGCGGTACCCAGCGAGGCTCTCAGCGGGCCTTCAGCGTCCTGGATCGTCTGCTGGTCACTCATCCTGTGTGGCTGCAGCTGTCACTCAACCAAGACTCTGCACTCTACATCCTGCTCAGAGAGCCTGTTGGGGTACCGACAAGTCAATTATTTCAATCTTATGACATTTCTAATTCATAAAGCATACTACTCGAGTCACATATATATATATAAATCTATTTGGTGTAACAGCAACTGCCACACACTTAAATTCATTCAAGTTTGATTGAAAATCATGAAGATTTACATTAAACGGATATGAACAAGAGTCTGTTCTCTACATTGCTGTTTGCACCATCTGGTCTCATGAAAAACCTGTGAAAAGAAAATATGTTTAAAAAAGAAAATAACACCCTTTATTCTTGTTTCCCGTGGTTGCGGGTGCTTACAGACGTTTTTGGTGCGTAAATGCAGCTCCAGCCAGAGGAAGGTGCTGTGTTTGAGAGTGGCAGCGGACAAAAGTGCCTCCTCTGTTAAGGAGTGCTTCATCTGTGAGGAGGACTCCAGTGAGTATAAAACAAGATACATAAGCATTATTATATATTACAGCAACACACGCTGTGTTTCTCTGCCCAGCATTTGTGGTGCAGTGCAGTTCATGCACTTGCTGGGTGAAGTAGCGTGGGACAGAGAGGATGGGTCCTCCAGAGGATTTGCAGCTGCCATATTTCCTGTTAAATTTGAACAAGTGTCCCACTGCCTCCACAGCTGTCAATCAAACTCTGTCTGTTCTATAACCAGCTTTCGCCTTGGAGAGCTCTGCACTCAGCTTCCCAGACCTGTGTCGACTGGTTGCCTTCTACTGTATCAGCAGGTGATGTATTATTTTAACTGTATGGCTAAATGAATGTGCACATCCCTGTTCCTGACACTTTTGGTTGTTTGGGGCTGTTTTTTATGTTTTCTCCCTTAGTTCCAATGAAATTGCTACATGCTACAGCATACAATAGTATTTTAGACAATTGTGTGGTTACAACTTTGTGCCAACAGTTTAGAGAAGGCCCTTTCCTGTTACAGATCTGTGAGTAATAGCCAAAAAAGTCTATTTTTTTCAGAACTAGGCAGTAACTAACAAGGCTGTAATCGCATTACATGTAATCTGTTACTCTCTATAGCTGGTAAAGTGAATTCCGTTAAGTAATGTTTTTTCCAGTTTGGTGTGACCTCAATCCCATCCAGCACTTTTGGGATGAACTGGAACATCGACTGGGAGCCAGGTCTTATGTCCCAACATCAGTGGTCAACCTCACTAATGCTTGCAGCCAGGTTCCACAAGCTTGTACAAAGCCTTCCCAGAATAATGGAGGCTGGTGTAGTACTAGATGAATTCCCATGCTTTTGGAATGACGTGCAAAATGGTAAATGGTAAATTGACTGCATTTATATATCACCTTTCTAGTCTACTGAGCACCCAAGCACTTTATGCCACATGTCAACATTTACCCACTGATGGCACAGCCTGCAGGAGAAATGTGGGGTTCAATATCTTGCCCAAGGACACTTTGACATGTGATTGATTTTTTTTTTCTCGTCTGCAGAGATGTGTTGCCCTTCCCGCTGCAGCTACCAGAGGCCATTGCTAAAGCCACAACACACAGACAGCTGGAGGCCATCTCACACATGGGACAAGGTGCAGTGATTGAAGACCTCTCATCCTCATCCAGATGAAACACGCCAAGTGCTTCACTTTGTCACTTGCCTTAAATAATAATAGTTACTTTACTAAGATGATCTGATTAGCTATGCTAGCATCGTGTTTCTAATTGCAATGTGTGTTGGTTTCCACACAACTTGTGTAGATATAGAAAGATCTCAGCAACCTTTGGATCAAATAATTCAAATGCTAGCCTCCCAGCTGCTAGTCTTGTTACCAAGTCTCTCTAATAATGGTTGTAGTCTTTTAAACTTAAAGTGGCTGTGAGGCTTGTTACTTATGCCACTAACTAACCAATTACCAATTACAGAGAACCTCAAATATCACAAAAGGTTTTATATCAAACTACAGTTACATTATTTTTTTAAATCTCTGCCTTGTAGCATTGGATACAGTGAGGATACAGTAAGGTTTCTCTGTAACGGCTTCTCTTCAGCAACGTATTGCAAATGTGAGAAAGTGAACGAATAACTGACTAAGTAGTGACTGCCAGCTTGCATCTATTTTAACATGGTAGCATGTACTGATGCAGCGTCGCAGCAGAGAGAGCGAGGTGTGACTTCAAGATGGCTAAAAATGACACAAGTAAGACACAGTATGTGTCACCGACTGCGACTCAACTCTTTCTCACTATGGTTCTGCAAAATCAGTCTGCTTCAGTCAGCTTGCTGTAGATAAACTTACATAATACAGTGCATATTTTATTGCTTGTTTGTGTTTGGTTTGATGAAAATAGTGTATCTTCTAACCAATGTTTTATTGAAGAAAACGCAGCAAAATGTCGTATATAGTCAAAAGGCATTTTCAGTTTTAACAATGCTTCTTCCAACCTTAACCTGCTTACCCCCCCATCCTACAGTCCTCCTTTACAATAAATAAAATGACAGTATGGTAAGTAAAAAGTAAATAAATAAATAAAATAAAACGTTGAGATTTGGTATTAAAATTAAAATAAAGACGTCAATCATAAAACAAGTAAGAAATCAGTCATTAATAACTCCAAGTTGCAATACTATAGAAAGTCGGAAACTGGAGTGTAGGGCAAATAGTTAGAGCGTGAACACACAAGACACCCATAAACATGCACACATAACTATGCATATACTATGCAGTACATATATGCACTCACACACACACTGTCCCCACTTTTTAAGCAGGCTAAGAAGCCTGAAATAGAAAAATAAAGCTCCTACAAACTGTGCATTGAATGTGTAACTGAAAGCCCTTTTTCTTTTCTGGATCTCCCACTAGACTTCTGGAGTGCACCGAGTGCTTCAGAGATCCAAAACGGCCCGATGGACCCAGTTGCATCAACCAGCGACAGCCAGGGTCAGATGTCGATGACCCAGGACCGATGTACCCTGCTCACCCGGGGTAGACAAGGAAAACTTTGCTTCATCAACCCGCTCTTCCTACAGCTGGAGGTTAGCAAGGTTAGTATAAGGTTGTGTGGTTGTTAAGACCATTACAAGTACTCTAAATCCATCCTCCTATATGACTGCTAATACAGCTCCTTGCACTTCACCTCACACCTTTTGAAAAATAAACTCTAGAGACCTGAAAGTTAGATGAAAGACTGAATCCACTATTTTTTTTCTACAGCAGCCACAACTCGTAAACCACAGTGCCTCCAATAAACGGCACCGCTTCAAACGCAGCATGCGGCTCCGGCTCTCAGAGTCCTCCATGAATCTGTCCCTGGAGGGGATCGGCTCCTACTCACCTTCCTCGTCAGGGGAGCAGACCAGCGGGTCAGAGAGGCTGCAGAAGGCCGGCACTAACCCACAGAGAAGAGTTCACCCTGGGGCTGGGGTCCTGAGGAGAACCCCTGCTGTATCACCGGGGTCTGCAGAGGAAGAGGACATGATGTCTGTCTATGTGCCACAAGTAATGCGTGCTAGCATCTTTATTTTGTCTTTCAGACCATGTGTTCAAATGCATTCAAGCCCTCTGTTTATGTATCCACTTGGAAAAGCATTTTCTAAAACAGTGGCTCTGACGGGTCACAACACAATTAGCAAGATAGGAAAGCAGAAATGAATGAAAATGAAAAACAGACTTTTTCCTTTGATCTGCATTAGTGTATATATAATCTCATTGTCTTTAAATTTGTGTCAATTTATGTTTGGTAAAAATTCTTAGTGCTTGTGACGATATCCAACAGTCACAGACACACCCTCAAACTATGCAACTCATCTGGTGAAAAAGAGTTTAATATGGGTCTTCTCACCTGGCTGATTTCATATATTGCATTCATTCATTGCATCTGCATTACTGTCCAGAAAGCAATGCCATGTTTTTAAGTAACCCATTTATGTCTTGTATATATGTACGTGTGATTTGTTCACTATTCTCAATTACTGTGCTGTATAATTATCACTTTTGTCCTGGTCAAGACATCTGCAAAGGTGGAGGAGGCTCCACAGCCCCAGCAGTCCGCCCGAGCAGAGGAGCCAGGCATCGAGGTGGCAGTTCTGGCCCTGGAGCGTCGCCCGGCTCCGTCCCTGGCCGAGCTCGACAGCAGCAGCTCCTTCAGCAGCATGGATGAGGACAATGACTCGGATTCAGATCCAGAAAGCATGGCCGAAGCACAAACCCACTTCTACCCGCGCCCACCACTTGTGCGCTCTCGAGGCCGCGGCGGGCTGCACCGTATGAGTGAGGCGTTTGTGTGTTTCTTTGCTCCGGACAAGCGGCTGACGCGACTGGTGGAGGAGCTGTCCAGAGACAGGCGCTCCACTTTTGGGGGCATGGTTCAAGACTTCCTCCTGGCACAAAGAGAGGTTCTCAAATCCCTGGCTTCCTCTTCTTCATCCTCTTCCTCGTCACGTGTGACCTCTGTGCAGCTCCTGCAGGGTCTGCGCCTCTTTCTGTCCCAGGCGAAGTGCTGCCTGCTGGACAGCGGAGAGCTGGAGCCTCCCATTGAGACCCTGGTGCCGGAGAACGAGAAAGGTAAACAAACACAAGCCTGGTAAATGTGTCAGGACATAATGTTGCTCACAGCATTTACATTTGAACCACAGCATCAACTGTGTCTTTCAAATACTGACTGATGACCTTTGAACTCCCAGGAGAAGGAACAGGCACATTGAATTTCCACTTTCTCGGACACATTAAAGTAAATTGTCAGTTAAAGGTAACAAAGTTGGGAATGTACATACTATATGCTTGAAAGGTTTTATTATAAATAAAAGGGCTTTGTAAATAAGTTGTAAATACTGGCTTCCTAAATGTTAACACATCCTTTATTAATGCTTTCTAGATAGGGTTATAGTCCATTAATAAGGACCAATTTTAGGTTTTAATTTATGTACAATCAGTTTGACAATGCTGACAATTGGCAGTGTTTTTATAAGAAAGTGGAAATTGTGTGAGTCAGTTTTTTTAACAATGTTCACACGTGGGAGCTGCCAAGTACTACTAGTCTTCACCACAGAGGTTTGAGTCAACCATTTTACAATCTCCTCATGCTTTGTCTTGACATCTGTCTTTTTAATTAGCCAAAATGGACAGTGTATTTCTGTAGAACAGCTGCAGAGCATATGGAGCAGCTGAACTGAACTGATCTTGTTAAAAAAGAAAAAGTTATGATTTAAGACAGTATGCACCAGCCACAGGGATTTTTACAGCCCGAGCATGAGGTCTTTGAATGTCCATGTATAAATAATAAATGAATGATGTATGATGTTGGAATTATACCTTAGTGAAAATTTACATAAATTTCTCTGCGGAACAATGCGGAGAGGGGAGCTATGAGTAAGTATAGGTCGAGAAGAGACCATATCTCTGCAACTCGTTGTGCCTCAAACAATCTGATTGGTTATACCAGCAGAACTAAACTGGACAGATTTAAATTATACCCAAAGTATAACGGTAGAACACCTTTGAATTTTCACATGTAGATGCAGAAGCTTTTAACCAGTGTTTAATCAGTGCTATAGTAAAGACCATCTTTGCGGAGTCAGAGACAAGTCCAAGACCAGGACTAGTGATGACCGAGTCAAGGCCGAGTCCAAATGAGAGAGACAGAGAAAATGAAATAATGCTTTTGCTATTGCCAGTGAAATGAGTGAATGTCAATGCCCCTTTTAGATGGATTTTGAATTAAATCCAATTTCCGAACAAGTGCGCTTTATCAACAGTTTTGTTTTCAAGTACGAAGTTACTTCAGAAAAAACATATTGCTGGACTTGGTCGAGGCCAACTAAAATATTTATAACGTCTGAGACAATAGAATAGAGTACAGCAGCGCTGCACATTTTTACATATATTCATTAGTTACAAGTTATTAATCTAAAGTGTGCCTCATTAGAAAGTGTTTCCAATTACCATAGCCTACTTCCATTGTCGAATATACTCATAAAAGTCATTTTACAATGCTTTAATTCTTTTGATTTTATCAGCAAAGAAAGTGAATTTATCTAATTGAATTTAGCTGACTGCGCCGGATTACACTTTGAGCTCAATCGTCTCAACCTTTTGAATTTCTCGCATGCATGCATGATTAGCTTATCGCATCACAACGAGGAAGAGACGGTGGGTGCAGCAGGGGACTGGAAAAAAACCCTGTACTATTAGAAAACACTGATTCAATAGAGCACAGTGCCAGAGGACGCAGGTCTATGGAAACAGACAGCCTTTTCTGATAAATGGTGGGCTGCCCAGGCTCTAGTGAAAGGCACTGTCAACACAAAGTAGTTTGCGTGGGGGGCCTCATTCACTAGAGCTCATATTGTCTCTTGTATTTAGAAAACAGCATTAGGAAACCCCTGCCCGGCGCGCCTGCACTCACATCCATCGCATTCAAAGTGTGATTCTTCTGATTATTGTAAAGACATCACAGGGTGTTACTTTGGAAGGATTCTGGTTAGATCTTTTGACACAGTCCTGTGCGTAGGTTTTCTCTTTTTTGGACTTGTGTGTGCGGCTGAGTGTGTGTTTTGCAGGTGTGCTTGTGTGTAAATGTGTGTGATGATGGATGGTTGCCTGGCAGTGCAGAGGCTTCAGGGGAGAGCGCTCGGCCGCTGCCTTCCTTCCTCCCGTCCTTCCTTCCTGCGCTCTGATTCTGATTTATCTCGCATTGCGTCGGTGGGAGGCATTTGCATTTTTTTTTCTCCCCCTCGTTTATCATAAAAAGATATCACAGTCCCACGCTCACTTGAAGAGCAGCACGATTCAGGGGAGGGTGGGAGGGACGGATAGAAATAGGCAGGATACTTTGAAAATGTAATCAGTTACAGATCTGTGAGTAATAGCCAAAAAAGTCTCTTTTTTTCAGAACTAACATCAGTAACTAACAAGGCTGTAATCGCATTACATGTAATCCTGTTTACTCTCTAATAGCTGGTAAAAAGAAGAGGGATGCTGGGGGGGAAGGAGAGGGAGGTGGAGAAAAAGGATGGGGGCGTGGAATTGATTAATCACAAGGAGGAGTGATTAGTAGGTAGATTGGGGGGGGTGTTGGGGGGATTATACAGGACAGGAGGGATACATGAAGGAATGGAGAGGAAGGGAGAGGAGGATATTGAGATTGAGTGGAAAACAGTGTGCGCTGGAGAATGTTACCCACTTAGTCAGGACTGCCCACTGACCTGCAGGAGACTCACTTGAGAGTGTGTTGATTTCCCCCCACGTGTGAGAGCATTCTGCATGGTGTAATATGTCCACGAGTTTGTGTAATACATAGCGCTGTTGTCAGGCCAAAAAATAACAGTATCTCCAGAATGTTAGCTTTTCAGGCGCTAAGATAAATAGCCTTGGGTTAGCTTGATGACAGTACAAAGCAAGGGATTTTAAATGAGTAGTTAAACATTTTAGGAAAATACAGTTATTTTTTTCGAGAGATATATTATTATCTAATATCTGTGTGTTAAGTCAAGAGCAAGGAAGCAATTATTTTATTAGCATATACATACTGCATACAAGGGGGAGCAGCCATCCTGGCTCTGTCCAAATGTACATGCACCAGCACCTCTAAAGATTAACAAGTTGTATCTAGTTGTTTTAATGCGTTCACAAACCGAAATGTAAAAATAACTACTCGTGCTTTTACTGTAACTATTTCTTGGCAAAATACAATAACCTATGCTAACACTTGTAAATCCTTCATGCATTGTTGATCAATAACAAAGGTTGTGTCAGTTGGGATGTACTTGTGCCAGTTGTGATCACCTATAATTAATCCCACCTGTGCATATTGATTGGAAATTGCCAGATTGCTGAGGAAAGGCATCTTGCCCGAAATGTCCATGTGCCAATATTAAAAAGTCAAATTGCTCTCCTAGTCTTTTAGTTTTGTTAAGCTACATTTTGGATTAAGCACCCAGTACTTAAGGTCTTATTGAACATGCTGTGTATGACCAATAGCAAACCATCTTGACAGTGCTGACCTTCGAGGAGGCCAAGAGTCCCACAGAAGAAGCCATTATAGACTATTAGCTGTGTTTCACACCACATTGCCACAAAACAGGCATGACATACAAATATGTCTCTTGAATAAACATACCAAGCGATCTGACAGCTAGCTTACTTTTTCTTGACTTAACAGGAGGTGGACAAAAAAAAAACGCCCACACAATCTAATGCAAGTCAGTTCAATTCAGCCGTGCAATAAAGTCGACCTTGTCAAGTCTGCGTCAGAAAGTGTTGACTCAAGGTCATAACTAAGACATAACCTGTCTTAAACTTTAACTTTAAACATTGTGTTTTCCAGAAATTACGTCATAATGAAAACTGTGGGGCATGATCATCATTTAAATGAATTGCTTAAAGAGCCTCCTTGTATGGACAATTGCACAATATACAATATAGGTCCCCTGCACAACAGACTGATTTTACTGGGTGCTGGTCAAATGCAGCAAATTCCTCAGCTCTAGACCAACTTAAAACTCCTTGGTATTTTTTTTTTTTTTTACAAGTAGAAAATTGATTCCACTTTTCAGTTCTGACACACAGTATTAGGCAGTATTAGGTATTCACCCTACTGCCATTGTAATCATCGCATACCTTTCTGGGCCTCCTGCCAGTGCCTCTAGATATGTAGACACATTTCTCTGCTTGCAAATGATAAAATAAACAAAACACAAGCAATTATATCTACAAAAAAAGAGTAATACACAACATTTTCAGTTCCAGTCTGCCGAACAATGAACCCTCCCTCTGTCCTCAGACCTGGCGCTGGAGCGGGCCATGTTCTCCTGTGTGCTCAGGCCTCTGAGGTCCCACCTTGACAAAGCTCTGGTTGAGCTGCACAATCAGGACGGCAGCAGCCAGCGTCTCACCCAAAACGTGCTCCGTCTGAAGGGGGATGCCGCCATGGAGCAGCTCGGTGTGCGTACGGGCGTCCCTGACAGCCGCGAGGTGGAGAGAGTGAAGCAGAAGCTGGTGCTGATGCAGAGGACACATTCGCCCATTGACAAGGTGCTGCTGCTGCTGCAAGTGTGCAAGTGTGTCTACAAGGCCATGGGGTCCTTACATGGTGAGACCAAATATATTGTTATTTTATTGGATTTTAGGGCTCTAATTTTACTTTAAAAACAAAAACAGCTTTATTAGTAGTAGTCCTTATTTAAAAACTACACTGATTTAAAGTCCTTGCATTCACAGAGGGAGATGGTCACTAAAATGGAAATTTGCTGTAACATACTGTATTTGCTGCTTGAAAGCTTTCTGTAAGAGGATTGAAGGTCAACAATCATTGCAAAGGCGAGTGCCTTGTCACTTTGGAAAAGCTCTACACTTCAGACATACAGTATCTGTGTGAGCTGTAGCACGACCTGTCTGCTTTTCATCACGACCTGCTGCTGCTTCTAGTGCCAGGAAATTAATGCATCATCATGTCAATACTGTTGAATGTTGGGTATAATTTTGGAAATTGCTGCAGAGTTACTTATTTAATATTTTTACTAAGCTGACATTTGCAAAGTGTTATTAGGTAGGTAACTGAATTCATACTCTTGTATGTCTGTCATGAAAGTCACGAAACCACCAACACAGTTGGTTTCATGACTTTTCTTTCAAACCCAGAGTGAAACACAGATTTGGTCCAACTCTTTTCTCATTTTTTCTTCATATGATAAATATGATTAATAATACCATGTAATCTAAAATGACAGCTTTCCTTTATACTGTCCTGTTACTGTCTTTCCAGGACAGGAAGTGAGCTGGGATGACTTCCTGCCGTCGTTGTCTTACGTGATTGTGGAGTGTAACAGGCCTCACATCCTGATAGAGGTGGAGTACATGATGGAGCTGCTGGAGCCCTCCTGGCTCGGAGGAGAGGGTACGACCTAAAATCTAATTATGTTACCTGTAGCCTCAAAATGTGGAGCTGTGCTGTGCTTTTACTTTGTTAAACCAATAACAGATCATTGTATCTGTCTGCGGAAAACAAAGTATTACCATATCTACCGTATAATTACAGATAATTATTCACTCATATTCTTTATACATAAGTGTCAGAACAAAGGGACAAATCATAATTTTACAAAACCCAAGTTGACATGTTTAAATGTGCAGCCTGTAGGATTTAGTGGCATCTAGCAGTGAAGTTGCATATTGCAACCATCTGAATACAGCTCAGCCTTTCAAGCTTGTAGGAGAAACTACGGTAGTCGCAAATCTTGCAAAAGGCCCTATCTAGAGCCCGTGGTTGGTTTGTCTATTCTTGGCAGCTGTAGGAATATAGCGGTTCAACATAGTGGACCCGCTCCCTCTGTAGATAAAAACGGCTCATTTTGAGGTACAAAAACACATTGATTCTTATTTTCAGGTGATTATGCATTAATGCCAACATACCTATGAATATTATATTCAATTTTTGACAATAGAGCCTGCTTAATATTACACACTGGAACATTTCCAACTGAAGACTAAGAAAACAAGCAAAAATTCACATTTTAGAAACCACAACCAGTGAAGTGAAATGAAGTGAAGTCAAACTAGCTAATTATTTGAGCTCTAAATGTTAATTACTTGTGACTAATTAGATTTTGGTCTTTACATCTTTTAATAACTTAAATTAAATTAATATAAATTAATCATTTCTTCACTTTTATGCTCTTACTTGTAGAAAATAAGAGATGCCAGAGTATATTACACTGTAAAACCAGATAAGTTCATTCAAGTCAAAAAGAAAATCTTGATTAAGTAGCTTTGGTAATTGTATGTGACATTGACTTAATTGTGTACTATGAAAACAAAAAACAAAAAAACTGGTCTCTGTAACTTACAAAGTTAGTGTCAATTAAATTACTAGTAAAAGCTACTTTCAAGAATCTTTTTGAACTTGAAATTTGTTTGTGTTACTTAAAATGTTCGATGTAATCCGTTTTAACAATTTTCTTGGGTTAATGGTTTCACAGTGTATTACATTAGTTACTACTACTACTACTTGTAGTATTTGTTACCAGTACCTGCTCATAAATTACTAGGTCCTTTTAATTTTTACTTTTAATATTTGTAGCTACTAGAAGCTAAGTAGTATGTGTGGCAAGATTTATTCTGATCTTTAGCATTAGCATCTTTGTGAAGAATCTATGCTTTTTGTTTGTTTGTTTGTTTGTTTGTTTGTTTATTTGTTATTTGGTTCCAGGTGGGTACTACCTGACCAGTGTGTATGCCAGCCTGTGCCTGATCCAGAGCCTGGACAGGGAGCAGCCGTTCTCAGGCTGCCTGACGCCGGAGGCCCAGGAGGCGCTGAAGGAGTGGAGCTGCAGACGGAGCCGAGAGGCCCAGAGACAGAAGGAGAACCAGCAGAGCCAGGTAGGTTCCAGATGTTTTGATTGTAGTAGTACAACACAGAAAGACTGGTTGTGTTACAGTATGTGTGGGTTTGTACAGTGATCTACGTTATAGCCGTCACACATAGCTGCTGTGTGTGAAAAATTTCTGATTGATGTGCAGACAACAAGAACTCCTACTAATTATGCAGTCAAACAGTTCTATGGGATGTCCTCTACTGTACCATGTGAATGGTAAATTTAAGAAATTGAACTTTTCTTATGTTAGAATAAAGTATTTTGTAAGATTATGGCAGTTTCATGGTTTATCATGGTACTTATTAACTTTATATATGTTTAGAGTGGTTTATTCTACTGTCAAGAGCACATAGAATATAAAACCATTTTAATTGGCCCTACAAAATGATAGGAATCACAGTGTATGGAAATTAAAATGAGTGAAATTATTGTATGGAAATTAAAACTAGTATAGTGGTTCATCTTGTACATTGCCCAGTACTACTCCACACTGAACATAAAAGGCATGCCTAAAAAAATAAATGAAGGCACGTTGAATGTAATGGAGGCAAGAATCCATCCACCCGACTTCACTGCCTTGGTCTATTAATGGATTTCCATGGCAGAACAATTTTATGTTTTGCTTGAAGTAAATAAAATATAACCCTCTCCTCATTTGTATTTTTAAATTTACAGTTTATTTGGATGCTTCTGAAAATACACAGTTTGTGGCGTAGTGGAAGTTCCTCTTTTGCAGTAGACCAAGTTGTTATCATTTCCTTCCAATACTGTTGTATGGTTGGGCATTCCCAAAGGCAATGGAACAAGCTGCCTTTGAGTAAAACCGGAGTGTCTCGTCTCATTATCCATTTGTACTGAAGCAATTTGAACCGACTGTTTATAGTTTGGAGTTGATATTGTGACTTTGGATAACTATTGGTGCTTATTAGAGCATTTGAAGAGAGGAAACATAGTCACATGATAAGTGATGCTGGAGTGCCCAGAATTGATTTCAGGTGGATGAATGTGGTTTAAAGGCTGTAAAATACAACCACCGGTAATGAAATGCGATTGTTGCAGCCAATTCTGATATGTGTTGTTGTGTGTGGTAACTGTAAATATTACTGTGCTACGTGACCTGCTCATCTGAGAGTATAGGCAGGTAATCACAGTCACGTGTCTTACAGAGGGAAGTCACAGGAGGGACGCGTATGCGAGGGTCTGTTCTGGTCTTTATCTTGTAGTATTTTTCATTTGTTTGTTTTCTTTTGTATTTATGATATTTATTTTAAATCAGTGTATAAATAAAGTGTTACATTTTCAGACAGACTTCACTTTTGTACCACTACGCATTAAAGATGCCTTCAAATTTCTTCAAGTGGCATTTTTTTGTTGTTTTAATTGTGTCTACTGTGATAGACAACAGAGGTTCCCTAATCTCTTTAGTCCAGATGTTGCACAGGTTATAAAATATCTGAACTGACCAAATTGTTTGTCTCTAACTACTTGCTCTAAGTAGTTTTTTCTTCCCCATAAATTGGTACCTTGGCAACAACTACTGGGGTCCTGAGGTTGTTGTATGCTTGCTTTGGGTGGATGTTAGGTCAGCATTGGTTGGCACTTTTATAATACAGTGTCCAGGATTTAAATCTCTCACCTTCTGATGGACCAATTTCAGCTGGACTGTGGACAAATATAATCTGAAGTTGTCGTTTTAGCTAGTTAGCAAATAGTCAAAACTGTAATCTGGCAAATTTGGTCTAGAAATGTGTGATGCGTCTTCCTACAGCTTGGATTTTCTAATGTCACTTTTGATTAAAGGCAATAAAAGCCCCCACAAAAAATATTCAAAGAGTTTCAAACAGCCAACAAGAATCATCATCTGTTTCCACATTCCTCGATTCAAACTTCAACCTGTTTTATGTCTTTCAAATGGCACAAAAGACACAAACAGCAACCAAAAACAAGGCGATAATCCATCTAAAGAGCTCAGACTTTACATTAATTATACTGATGGCAATGCACGCTGAGCAACATCAGATTATCCTACATCTATGACAATGGCAGGTGTGGTAGAACGAGCAACAGCAACCCATATTTGATTAAAATTTGACCTCCGGTGTTACTGCTGCTGTTGGGGACGTTGAAGAGAGCGCTCGAGTTTTCTAAAGGTCATGCAAAAGGTTAGGATTTTCAGTAGGTCATCCATCGAAATTCAGACAGCACACCTGGATTTCCCACCTTTGCGTGCCAACACGTTTTCAAATTCATTTAAGGGGATTAGTTTTTAGACATTTTTAGAGGTAATCCTCTGATCTGGGGCCACCGGCTTACGACAGGGTATGCACTAGTGCACACACACACACACTTTTACCCACACTCTCCTATTATCACTCTCCCAGCCCCAGATTGGTATAACGGTCCACCAGATGCCATGGAAAAAAGGCATTGTCATCCACAACGTTTCTGTCTCGTCACGTGGTGCCTCTCTTGGCTTCAAATAGCCGATCTAACTCACCCGGCAGCCAGATTTTCCACTGACACAGGCGGGGATCAGTGAGCCAAGTGCTATGAAGAAGTGGGCGGTCAGATAACATGAAATTTATTGAGCTGCATCTACCCATCGAAGCAGGCAAACACAATATGCACACGGACAGCGAGGAGCTCAGTGACTCTGTAAGTTTTGATGATGGCAGACCTGTTGATTGTAATTGCTGGTGTGTGTTTTTCTTTTCTTTTTATAGAGCGTATTTGGCCACTTATGCATCTGTATGTATGTTTGTGTGTGTTGGGAGGGAGGGGGGTGTGGAGGGGTGGGGTAGTGTGTGTGGTGACAGTAGGATGTGTGACGTGATGTTGATGTGTCCGCGGGCGAGAAGGGGATTCTCACTGGTTTTCTCAAGGTCTGGATGTTGGTTAAATGATTATTATCAGTATTGTTTTTCCGTGTCGTGTGTGATCTTCCTTAGAGAGAGTTGTGAGGGCTTCTGTAGGTGTCTTTGAACTCTGGAACAGGTATTATAACTAGCTTAGGTACAGCACCAATTGCTGGTAAGTGTTTGAAGAGTGGCCACGAACTCTGTTGACGATTCAGATCCGTTAAGTTGGTGTGTTTGATTGTTCTTTTGAAATGTCAAAAAGTTTCTTGTTTGATTGAAGTCGCAGAGGGAAAAACTTCACCAGACAACCCAACAACGGTCAGCGCCGGAGCTATCCTGGCTTATATTTGATTCAGTCTTGGACGTGGAAACGGTTCTAGTGATTAGTCTGGGAGTTTGTCCAATGAAGCTGTAAACATGAAACAGGAGAAAAGAGCAATTTTCACGAAGATGGTTTTCATATAAAGCTCTTGGATCAGCTGGTTGTGGGTGTGGGAAGTAGAAGCTTTTGTTCACAGATAATTCTTTTATCAACATCAGTTTGCCCGCTGGATTTATGTAGGTGGATTATAAGCTTGGTGTGTTGCCACAAGCTCTCACTCCTCTCTGTCCTCTCTCTCTCTCCCCCTCTTTTTGCCTCCTCCTAACCCTCCTTGACCTCTGTTTTGCATGAATACAAGTATGATAGTCACTCTTTTTTCCCTCTTTCTCTCTTCTCCTCCCTCCCTCCTCTCCCTCCTTCCCTCCCTCTCCAGAGGTGCGTTCGGATATTGTTCCAGGACGGGGAGCGGAGTGCCGGTGCGGACGTTGCAGTGGAGAGCCGGGAACAGCCCAGGCCCTGGCCGATCTGTGCGCCGCCACCTTCGAAGTGTGACGCAGCAATACACCCTGTACTGGCGCAGCGGCGGGGAGATGAGGGCCCCTGCCGCTCAGCCCAGCCCCCAGGACCTGGCCAGCCACAGTGAGTGGAGCCCTCGCCTCTCCTACCTGAGACCGAACCACGCTTTCAGCAAGATGCGGCGCTCACCAGAGGTGGCCGCCTGTGGACCTGAGCGAGTCGGTGTGTTGAGGAGTGAGTGGAGGGAAGGAGGAGGAGGAGGAGGAGGAGGAGATGGGATGGTTGCTCTGCTTTCTCTCTCTTTCTCTCTCTTGTTCTGTCTCTTTCTCTCCGGCGGTGTGTTGTGTCTCGTCGTGGGTCAGGACTTGTTGTGAAAAACTACAGCCCTTCTCCAGACCAGGAGCAGACCTTAAACGGTAAACTCTTCCCTAAATGGACCAACATGCAGTGCACAGCAGGACCAACATAGGGACTGTTGCCAAAAGTTGTACTATGTACCACTCAGTGTGGCTGCTGGTGTAAAGGAGTGTACTATTTGTGACATGGAAAATGTGTAATAAATGGATTTGGTTGTTATTTAAAACATGAACCCAGAGTTATATCATGAAGGGATTACATCATTAAAACGTGAGGAGGCTCAAATCCAAAGACAAATTCTGTGAGGCTACTGTTGCCTGGAAACAAAATCACTTCCTGTACGCACACGAGAAGGCAAGTTGTCCACCGTGGTGATGTAACCCTTTCACAGTATAGTTCTGGGCAAATCTAAAAGACACTTGGATGTTTTTATTACTTCACTTTTATGTGTTAAAGTCTGCAGATCTTCGAATGGAACCGTGTGGTTAAAGGGTTTGGGGATGCAAACCTTTCTGTGCCCCCCTGGAATACAGTTTGACAAAAAGGTGAGATGTGTTATAGCCAAGACCAAACCTCAATACCAAAGTGACAAAAAAAGAATACAGATAAAGAGAGGCCATTTTGTGATACAACAGGTGTTTACTCTGAAAGAAATCAGGTTTACAAGCTCGAAGGAAGCTTTAAATCAGCTGTTTATTTTTAGAATCACCCACAGAGACAATTTTATTTTTGCTTTTTGAGAAAAAGCGCAGACTCTCCTCCTTGCTTGTGTATTCTATTAAGTGTTTTTGGCAGGTGGAGTAATGAGCGAGTAGGAGGGAAGTGATAGAAAAGCATCAGCTCTCTGTTTTTAAAACCATGTGAGAAAAAAAAAAAACCCAACACATCACATCGACACACCGAGACAACCTGCAACAGATTTACTGAATGACTTGCGAATGTATTAAAATCTTTTTGCGTGTCAAAGTTTAATCCTTTCACAACTGCAGTCATTTCACGTTTCAATCCACTGCTTTTGAGTTCTACTGTTTCTCTTGGCCGTACTGTAAAATACCACTGCGTTACAACCTGGACTGACAGGACAGTCTGACCAATAAACCAGGACCTCACGGTGACTGGTCGAATGTAAATGTAAAAGTCACCAGCTTCTGGTGACCCCTGCTGCAAGTCATCACTATCAACTGACTGTTCAACTCAGTGTCATGATCGATTATCATATTGTGTATTTAAAACTAACTTTTAATTGTTCAATTTGTTGGGTAGATATCAAACCTAAGTATGGATTTTCAACATATCTGGAGTTTTTAATCAGCTGAGGAGGTTCATTTTGAGAACTATGATGTGCTTTGAACATTATTGCATGCTTTTTCATTTAACGTGAAGGTTCTGCGAATGTGGTGTGTGTGTGCGTGAAGCATGTGTTCATTGTGAGAGCTCACTATTTCTTTTCAGTGTAAAAACACATTACTGTATTTTGTCAGGTAACTCAGTATCGCAATAAAAAATTGCAATATCTGTTCACAATGTTCTTACATCCAGATTTGTGTTGTAGTAGGATGTTGTGATTTGGTGTCTTAAACAAATTCAACCACCAGAGGGCAGCAAATAACAAGATTTTTTGCCTGACTTTAAACTACCAGCACCCTCAAAGGGGTTGTTCAATGTTTATGGTTTCTAATGTTGACGCCTTAAAGGATTTGATATTTTTGGTCACAGTTTCAACTACTAGTTAATTTAAAACAGATCTTAGAAAGATGACACAGTGAACAATGCCCATACATTTGACAAATAAAATATTAGGAATGATATTGATAGACAAAAAAAATGTATGTTCCTGAAGTCTATTTTGACAGGTTTAACATTTCAAACATTTCACATTTTCTACATCAGTCAGTTATTAACATAACTTTCTTATAATTACCAGCAGCCTTTTACAAATAACCAGGGCACAGTATGGGTTTAAATATGGGCTTGACATGTTTAATCCAAATGTTACACTAGAACTTTGTGAGCTTTGCATGAGTTTGAATCAAGACCCAGTTTAAATGACAATGTAAAATATATATAAAAAAGGCTATGAATGTTTTGGGTATCTATATACTGTATCGGATCAGTGTGGCCCAAATATAATTATGGTAAAATAATGCAAAATACACCTCTTTCTCAAACGCCTCTCCTCTCTTTCCACGGCTCGTTCATTAGCCTGAAGTGTTGCTCAGTTTATTGTCAGTTTTTGTAACAAGTGGATACCTGAGACTTCTACTGTGTTGTACATGAAGTGAGACCTTTTTTGTGGGGAGCATCCAGATACTGTTTTTCTGTTATAAAATTTCACCTTAGCAGGGATTAAGGCTGCAACCAACAATTATTGAAATGAATTGTTTAGTCTATAAAGTGTCAGAAAATAGTGAAAGAAAATGCCCATTAATGTTCTATCACTAGCAGGAATGAAGGAGCGCTATTTTTTAATCAATGCCAGTCTGAGAGGTGAGAAGTTGATATAAAAATGTAAATGTTTGGAGTGACGTTGTTTTCCTTTATACATTTTATTTTTATCTGATTTCACCTCCCAGCTTTTGCAGCACTCCCAGGCCTTTTTCCTCGTACTCTGCTCTGCTCAGCCAGAAGGAGTCTTTGTCTTTCATGATGTTGGCCAGCACTGCGCCGCCCATGAAAACCATGTGTTTACGCCTGGGAGGGTCCTCAATGCGGATCTTAAACTTCTACACAGACAAAGAAAAAGGAGAGGAGAGGTCATTAAGACACAGTGCTCTACCTGTACATGTACATACATCCCGTCTTTTATGCTCTGTGTCTAAAATAATAATCATATTAACAATTATAATTATTATAAGTATAATAATATTGGATTTACAATAACAAAAAATAAATCTGTAATAATTCACAATATAATAATCCAAATTTAGTCTTTTCTGGTTCTCCATTCAAATGGAAAACTGGCAGTTCATTCTTGCCTTTGGAAACAACAGTAACAAAACCATTTTAACCCAAGATCCACTGACATTCACTCTAGCCCTTCATCTTAATGAACATTTGATACAGTTGAAAGCTCCAAAAGCCAGTAAGTGGACCTTGAGCTGAAAACGTCTTGTTTACTGCTGTTTCCAAGGTCATGAATTAGCTGTCAAGATGAACTTTTAAGGCAACATTAAAGGAAAATCCTAAAAGTGCTCAGAATAATAGTAAGTGTGAAAATCAACAGTTTTCATAAAACTGAGCAAACTCCATTCACTGATGAAGCCTGTGTTCATATGGTTGAAAGCTCTGGAACAAGATTATTTTGTCACTTGCAATTATTATTATTACAAAAAGAGTCAAAAAAGCTATTATATCAGTGCCATGTAACATTTAATAAATGAATGGAAAGTGCATCATGTTAACATTGAGGCTTATGCTACAGATTATGTTGTTGTTCCCTTTATGGATTATGATTTATGCAAAAGTATTAAAGAGAATCAATGGTTGTATAACACCTGTGCTGCTGTGTTTTCACTCTTCAATAAAGCTGAAATTTTGTGGATATTTAAGTTCTTACTGATAGTTTCTCAGTGTCTCCGTCCAGCACCCTCTCCAGGTAGAGCTGCTTGATCTCCCGTTCTAGTCTGGATGGAAGTCCGGGGTACATGGTGGTCCCTCCTGACAGAACAATGTGCTTATAGAAGTCTGCCCTGCACAGGAATACAGATAGTAGATTGGAAAAAATACATGCTTTATTTGTCTGCATCCCTTATATGTGAGATAAAAAGTACTGTCCCTTTTATTTTCATGTTAATACAGCAGCTGTAGGGCATTAGTAAAGACAGCAGTGAGGAAACCTGAGGTCAATGTCTGCAGCCTGGATGGTGTTAAACAGCAGTTCAGCCACTCCTGCTCCCTCCACGTTGATGAGATGGGGCTGGAAGAGAGCTTCAGGGGCCCCAAACCTCTCTCCACCCACATTCACCTGCCGGCCGTCAGGGAGCTGCAGCGGAGAAAGGAAACCATAAGAAAAATCTACTTTTATTTATTTAATTTTCTGTGATTTTGTTCTTTAACTTACCATAAACGACTCCACCAAGTAGGTGGTCTCTGTGGCCAGGCGCTGCTCCTGGTCGATGTTGTATCCCACATAGCAGAGCTTCTCCTTCAACATACGCACAGTCTCAAAGTCGGCCGTGTGGTTGAAGGCGTAACCGCGGAGAAGCAGGAGCTGATGGCAGAAAGGTAAATGGTTAAAAGGCTTTTTTTTTTTAAAGAGTGTTTAAGTGTCCCAAACACTGAACTGAACGTCTCCATGGCTCACCTTAATGAGGTAGCGTGTGACATCACGTCCTGCAATGTCCAGCCTGCGTGTGAGGTGGGGTAAAGAAAAGCCCTCATACACCGGACAGATGTGGGTGACACCATCCCCAGAGTCCACGACCACACCAGTCAGCAAACCTGTAGAGGGGATCAATTCCCAAAAGAGGAAGGTCAGACTGAAAGGAAAAGTTGGAAATTTGATCTCTTGTGTCTTTAAGCACTGAAACCCAGTAGTTGCACATTATAATTTACTTAACTTTATAAAGTCTTACCCTGAGCATACAGAGTGAGCACAGCCTGAATTGCCACGTAAATGCCGTGGAACTGGTACTTCTCAAACATGACCTCTGCGATCTTCTCCCTGTTCTTGGTGGGGTTCATGGGCGGCTCAGTCAGCAGGATCTTAAAGAAGTAAATACAAAAGTGAGAATAATAATACATTAATAATGAATGAATAAAGAACATACAGATGTACAATTTATTGCAATTTGTTTTTAGTATTTTATTAATTTGTTTTTGTTACTTCATGTGATGTTACACTAATTTCATATGTCACTGAGCTTTATTTTGAA